TGTGGTCACCGGTTCGAATCCGCGTAGGGATGGGCGTCCTCACAGTATACTCAGCCCACGCGCAAATAGTGGTGGTAGCGCGGCAGCGAAGCGCCGTTACAGCGTACAGCTGACATATTTTATTTCAGACTTGCTGCTCTATTAAATACGATTTGGGACGGTGTTTCTGTGTCGTTCCTTCCAACGCTGACATTGGAGTGGTACCTTCAGACCGGCAGATATCAACTATAGTGTCCATCTTGAGGGAAGGTCAGTGCACTTTGTACGAGAATTATCGAGGCATTCGCCGCATTTCCACTGACTCCAAACTTTCTACGTGTACCATTCTTCGACACTTACTGGTCCCCGGGAGAGCCGAAGCAAGGAAATCCAAGCTGGTTTACGCCCTGGTTGTGATTGCATTGACCACATATTTACTCTTTGTCAAGTGTTAGGGCAGAGACACACATACAGATTACCGAGTATGATGATTTTTCCTGAATTGAACGCCGCCTCTGATTCTGTTGACCGCAGCAGCTTGTGACACTCTCTATCAATGGAGTGCTTGGTAAATTGCTATCGAGTCTGAATTCTCACTACCTTGACTCCTGATGCATGTTAAGCGTCAAAGGGAGACTGCCACCTGAGTTCCCCACAACAAGTGGGATTCGCCATGGTTGTCCCATATTTCCTCCCCTTTTCAACTTTGTGACTCTACTAGAGTAGAAGTTCTGTCGGGTGACCGATTAACAAACTTTGAATATGCGGATCGGAAGCAGTAGTTACGCAAACACTACTGGATAGACTGACGCGTAGCGCTGCACACTTCGGCATGTGCTTTGCACCTTCACAGTGCAAAGTACTGCTGCAGGACTGGACTCACACACTTCCGGTTCTACCTATCACCGAAGAGACACTGGAAGTGGCGGATCAGTCCACTTACCTTGATAGCTGTCACCTCTGGTGGTCACATCACTGGGGAGATTACTTAACGTATCAACAAGACCCATGTGACTTTCCAGAGGCTCAACCATTTATGTAGAGGGCGGGATATCAGTCTGTCAGTGAAAGGTAGGGGGCATAACGCTGCGATAAGACCGGTCTTACTACATGGACAAGAGCGTTGCCACTAGTTCAGATATTATAGTACTTGCAGGGGATATGAACGCACAAGTAGGGCGTCTGAGCTCTTCAGAAGCTCAGCTGGGTGATAAGTATGGACTTAACGCCGAACGGACTGACAACGGCGAGCGTCTGCTACAACTGTGTGCGGAGCACCAATTGTTTCTTACTAGCACTGCTTTTAGACACAGTGGGCGCTGAAGTGCCACTTGGCGTCCACCTGTAGCTGGCCAGCGATGGACCCAAATTGATTACATAGCCATAAGTTACAGATGGCGCGGTTCCATTCTGGATTGCCGCTCGTACTGGAGTACTTGCGTCGACTCTGATCATGCCTTGGTGCACTGTCGTTTCTCCATGAACTTTACCGGAAGGCGCACAAAGCGTCTCCCCCGATTGGCAACGGAGAAATTGTCCCAGCCCTCTGTCAGGAAAGCCTATCAAGAAGGACTGCATGGCAAACTCTCGCTGTCTTGTCCTAATGACACTGAACTTCAGTGAAATAGGATCTCGGCCACTATGCACGACGCAGGAGCATCTGCTTGTGGCACTATCAGTCGTCACCGCACCAGTCACTGGATATCCGAGAGGTCCGTGAACCTTTTGGAAGCTAGAAGGCACCTCCCGGCTGGTTCTGAACACAATGTGACCAGACGGGCTATTAGGCGTGAACTAAAGCGGAGCCTACGTGCTGACAAGGAAGCCTGGTGGACCAGTCGGGCTCAAGAAATGGAGGAGGCAGGAACAGTAGGCAATTACCGGAAGCTCTTCCAGCTAATACGCACCACTCGTCCGAGAAAACCAGGCGTCAGTGAGACAATCAGGGACAGCGCGGGTGCGCTGATACACAATAAGGAGCGCCGTATGGCTCGTTGGGCTGAGCACTTTGAACATCAGTTCAGCTGGCCCACTGCTCCCGGACCTCTTCCTATTCAGGTGATGCAGGACGAGCCATGGACGGTTAGTTTAGAGCCTCCGTCGGAGGCCGAGGTCCGAAACGCGATCACAGCCCTCAATCGTTTTCGTGCCGCTGGCCCGGATTCCCTCCCACCTGCACTATTTAAGGATGGAGGTGAGGTCCTCTGCAAAGCACTGACCTCCCTATTCGAACGTATCTAGAACGAAGAGTGTGCCGGCTAATTGGAGCGAATCGATTATAGTGGCAATATACAAGAAGAGCAGTCGCACAGACTGTGCGAACCACAGGGGTATTAGCCTAACGCCAGTTGTGACAAAATTACTGGCCTCGATTATCGTTCGTCGCCTCACTGCAGAACGGGAATCTCGGATTAGAGAAGAGCAGGCCGGTTTTCGCCCAGGACGTGGCTGTATAGACCATATATTTACTTTGCGGCAGGTGCTAGAGCAGCGCCACGCATACCGCAGACCGATAATAGCTGTGTTCCTCGATTTCAAGAGTGCGTTCGATTCAGTCGATCGATCGATTCTGTTCGAAATACTTGCGCGGAAAGGTGTTCCCACGAAACATGTGAACATCCTTCGTGCTCTATACTCGAACACTAGAGGCCGCGTCAGGGTCTATGGTGCCCTATCGGATAGCTTTTCGACTACAAGTGGCGTTCGTCAGGGTTGCCCGATTTCCCCATTTTTGTTCAATTTCGTCGTGGATTCTATCATGGAGTGTTCCCTTGCGGAATCTCACGATGTAGGTGTTGAAGTGCTGCCTGGTGAACGGTTAGTTGATCTAGATTATGCGGACGATATCGTCTTGCTTTTCGACAATGTTGAGGCGGCACAATCAACCCTGAATAGCCTATCCAGAGTGGTCCCATTATTTGGTATGCACTTCACATCTTCAAAGTGCAAAGTGTTGCTGCAGGACCACCAGCCACCCGATGACCCCTTGACGCTTGCTAACGAGGAACTCGATGTGGTTGATCAATTCACTTATCTTGGCAGCTGCATCAGCAATGATGGGCGCATAGAAACTGACGTCAGCTCAAGCATTGCAAAGGCCAGAGCTGCCTTCTTGAACCTGCGGCATCTTTGGCGACAGAAGGGAGTTTCCCTCCGTCTGAAAGGCCGTGTGTACAAGGCCACAGTGAGGGCCGTTCTGCTCTATGGGAGTGAAACTTGGCCCCTTCGGTCTGAAGATCTGAGGCGCCTTCAAGTCTTTGATCATCGTTGTTTGCGAAGCACTGCTGGTGTCGGATGGCACCAGCGTGTCCGCAACGATGACGTGTGTAGGCGAGTACTAGGTGGTGATGATCATGCTAGCTCCATAGAACAACAGATAGCACTGAATAAGTTGCGTTGGCTCGGGCACGTGCTACGCATGCCTGGTCACCGCTTACCTAGGAGGGCCTTGTTCAGTCTACCAGGTGTCGGATGGCGCAAGGCTCGAGGTGGACAGAAGTTGACTTGGCAACGGGAAATGAAGTCACTGACGACCAAACTGGGTGCCGTTGGTCCGTCTCTCCTTCCGGGTTGGAGTCCACGTGACTCACCTTGTGCTTGGCTCGAGACTTTACAGGACATGGCTCGCAACAGACACCAGTGGCGCTTCTGCTGCCGTCTCCTAATCGGATTGCCTGTTTAAAGTGTGTTTGCTGCTGAGTTATCTGCGGGGTAATGGCTGATTATGACGCGTGGCAGTGAAAGCCGCAAGGAAGCTGTCTCGCCGATGCCGCCTTATCTTTGCATGATAGCCAGCTGTTTGTGACGGTATGTTCTCTACACAAGGTGTAGGCGCCTTGACCCTGAATGTTTGCTTAGGGCATTAAGGTTTTCAGGTAAGTCCCCCTTATCTCCCTCTTCTTATTCTTTATTTCATAGGTCCTCATGGTTGTATGGCAGCGAAGCATCAGTTCAAATGGCTGATGTACTGCTGTTGATGATGATGATGATGTTGGCCAGTTCGCAGTGAAAAAATTAAACGAATGACCGTGTTTGACCACCGGTGCTTGCGAAGTATGGCTCACATCAGCTGGGAACACCGAGTAAGCAATGCTGAGGTCTGTCTATTGGTTCTGTCAAGAAGCCTTCTGGCGGCTCACTGGAGTGTCTGCTGCATCTTAGCCGCTTACGTTCGCTAGGTCATGTCCTCCGTAAGCCCGTTTGACGAATTCCTCGGGGTGCACTATACGACGTCGCTGCACCGAGTTACGCGAAACCGCGAGGTACCGGTCGATGATGTGGATTGAATAAATTGAATGAGGAATCGGTGAAGCTGATGCATGTCATCTTCGTGGATGGGGGCCCCGAGATAGTTAATAACAGTGGTTAGAAACGCTATCAGACATGGCAATCGCGCAGTCAGTGACGTTACTGCATTCCTTTTTGTATCTATCGGTTAATTTTCATTCCAACCCGGTTAGTTTAACGTACCTCCTCTTTGATTCTAATTTCTTTACATCTTGTTTGTATTCAACACATTTTGTGCCGTTGTTATATGTTATTGTTCTGTAGATGTGAGTCGTGGCAACCGGATCAATTGCAGGTCGGTGCCCGAATCATAGTTGCTCAGTTGAACCGAACTAGAAACAGGTGGGACAAGAAACGAAGGTTCCAGATGCAATCAACGGAGAAACATACTTAGGAGAACACAGATTCCCACAAAATCCACAAGCTGCACCTCCGCTTCTATGCGCGGTTGATGCACATTCATGCTCGTGTGAACTCACAATTTGCGCAATCTACGTCTCGGATTTCATCGCGTAGCCTCGTACATATCGTCCTATGCTCGGTATATAATCGAGGCTGATGAATCTTGTGTTCGCCTTTGGCCGAGTCAATAAAAGCACTGTCGGAGGACAGCAGTACACGCTTTTCTCGCTTACGTTCGAGTATCGAATGGTTAGCGCCCGGCTCGACTCAGTCAGGTCAGTATGATATTCCCAAAAAATCGCATAGCAAACAGCAACAGTTTATGAGCTTACTGAACAGCTGAGATGCACGATCGGATAAAAATCTCATAGACCGAGCTAGGACGTGCTCGCTTTCTTCATACTGGGCCTTCAAATCGAAAAATTCTGTTAAAGGAAAATAAAAAATATGATAAGTTAGAAACATTCATGAGCACGATTTCTCAGCACCACCAGAAGTGTACATTTTTAGTATAATTACACAAGAACGAAGTAAAAACTGTGAGGGATATAAGTTCGGTTGAGCTGATCGACAACGATCTGTGCGTGTCGGGTCCAGCATCTAGAATGGCATAGCACCTACAAAATTCTAACCGTGACAAAAAGCAAAGAAACCGATTCGATAAGTAGGCCTAAATAAAGATCAAAGCAGTTAGACTCTGGGTAGCGAATATAGGAGCCAATCACATTATAACTGTTTCGATTACGGCGGGATATTCGAAGACGAACGTGGAAAGTATTCAGCATCTAGGTGCCTACATCTTACGAATAGTAGCCATGTCCCTAATAGGTAAAGTAGTAATAATCGCCCAGCAATTTCGCATAGTATGTCGCTGATTAATAGATTGGTGTCTCGACGCGATGAGATGGAAGAGAAGTTGAAAATCCCTCAAGATCATCCCGAACAGCGCGAAACAGATGTTCCCTTTTTGCCCACCATAAGAGACACGGCTGCACTCATAAGTAGACCAGCTGACTAATCCAAGTGCTTGCTAAGTGATAGCGGGTGTAGACAGTAGGGTAGCCCAGTACATCACCAGTTAGCTGAACTGGAAGTAGTGACGCACGTACCAAAGCGTGTGGCACGGTGCGTAATTCTACATGGCGGTGGTTACATTATCACTGTCTACGAGTTTCAAGTTAATCAGATGGCTCATCATCATCGTCAGCACCAACAACAGTAGTACATCAGCCATGTGAACAGATGTTTCGCTGCCGTATAACCACGTCAACCTACGGGACGAAGAACAATAAGAGGAAGAGAAAGGGGACCTAGCGTAAAAACTTAATGCCATAAGTAAACATTCAAGGTCAAGGCGCCTACAGCTTTAGTTAACAATATACTGTTACAATCAGCTGTTATGGTGCAAAGATAAGGCGGCATCAGCCAGACAGCTTAATTGCGGCTTACACTGCGCCGCGTCATAATCAGCCATTACCCCGCAGATAACACAGTACCAAACACACTTTAAGGACAATCCGACAGAGACGACAGCAAACACGCTACTGGTGTCTACTGCGAACTGTGTCCTGTAAAGTCTCAAGCCAAGTACAAGGTGAGTCACGTGGACTCCACCCCGGAAGGCGAGACGGACCAACGGCACCCAGTTTGGTCGTCAATAACTTCATTTCCCGCTGCCAAGTCAACTTCTGTCCACCTCAAGTCACCTACACTTGGTAGACTAAACAAGGCCCTCCTAGGTAAGCGGTGATCAGGCATACGTATCACGTGCCCGAGCCAACGCAACTTATTCAGTGCTATTTGTTGTTCTAGGGAGCTAGCATGATTATCACCACCTAGTACTCGACTACGCACATGATTGTTGCGGACACGCTGCTACCATCCGACATCAGCAATGCTTCGCAGACAGCGATGATCAAAGACTTGAAGACGCCGCAGATCCTCAAATCAAAGTGACCAAGTCTTTCTACTGTGGCCTTGTAAACACGGTCTTTCAGAATGAGGAAAATCCCTTTCTGATGCCAAAGATGTTGCGAATTCAAAAAGTCAGTTCTAGCTTTTGCAACACGTGAACTAACTTCAGTGCTTACGCATCCATCGTTGCTGATGCAGCTGCCAAAGTAGAAGTGATCAACCCCTCGAGTTCCTCGTTACCAAGGGTCAAGGGGTCATTAAATGACTGGTGGTCCTGTAACAACACTTTGCACTTAGAAGGCTCGATGCATATGCTAGAGCAAGGGATCACTCTTGAGGGAAATCAGGGTTAATTGGTCCACCCTGACATCGTTAAAAAGCAAGACAATATCGTACGTATAACCAACAGCAACTAGTTGGAGGGACATTTTAAAGTAGGCGTTGTGTGAGGGGATTGTGAAGCGGAATCACAATGCGGACCGCGATTCCCATTGAAGTGAACCTTGACAAATCAGTCACTGGGATCGTAACTGAGAAAGCAGATAGAAATTGGATGTTGCGACCCGCAATTCATGCACACACCGTGTACTCCACAATGACATTCTAATCATTCATTAATCGTTGTGCCAAGCGTTGCCTGTCTTGACCCAGTATTTTAAAGGTAGCGGTCACAACCAACATCCTAATGATCCCGGATTCGATGCGTTATCTCTGTCTGATGAGAAACGCGTCACGTAGTACAGTGTTTTCGGGTGGGCAGCACCCAATTTCAAGAGCAACTAGCTTTTCACCAAGCAGCGCATCACGAAGCTCAGCAAAGGAACACTCCATGATTCCGCCTAAAACAAAGCTGAGCCAAAATGTGGAAATTGGACAACCCCGACGAACGCCACCAGTCGAGAACACATCTGACAAATTTCTGTACACGCTGATGCGGCCTGTGGTGTTCGGGTACAAATGACGTAAAAGGCCCTTTCCGCGCAAGTATTTCGAATAGAACGCATCGATCGAGTAAGTAGAACGCATCGTTGAGATCGAGGAACACAGTTATTGTCGGTCTGCAGTACGCCTGGCGCTGCTCTAGCACCAGCCGCAGAGTGAATATGTAGTCTATACAGCCCCGTCTTGGGCGTAAGCCTGCTTGATCTTCCCTAATTCGGGATTCTCGTTCCGCAGTAAAGGCGATGAACACGAATTTAGGCTAGTACTTTTGTCACCGTCGGCGTTAGGCTAATACCCTTGTGGTTAGCACAGTCGATGCGGCTGTCCTTCTTGTCTAGCGCCAATGATGGCCTCTGCCTTCCAAGCCTGTTCGAACAGGGAGGATAGTGGTGAGTGCGAGGGAATCCAGGCCAACAGCATGAAAACGATTAGGAGTTGCGATGGCGCTTCGGACCTCAGCCACGGAAGGACCACGTTGACTACCAGGTGGAAAGGAACTTTAACAGATGGAAACGAGAAGTATTCACAAGCAGTTGGATAACAAGAACACTGAAAAACTTTGTTTGTCGTATAGCTTAGTTGACAGAATCCGGTGAATCTTCGGATGATATATAAATTCTCAGTATAAGGATTTTACGGACGAAAGGAATATCTCATGTACACATGATCAAGCGAGATGAGAGGATTGTGGACGGTTTGCAAGTCGAGGAAAGACCACTATGACAAAACGCCTGTATGTGTGGTTTAGCTGCAGCACCTGCTTAAGTCCAAATGACAGTTGATAGTATGACGGCATTACCGAGAGAAAGCCGAAGAGAATGGCTAAAACAGATATTGGTGATTAAAACCCTTTGATTGGAGGCTGGAGAAAGGTAATCAGAGTCAGGCGTTCTGCTTCAACCTAGTACCGTCAATTTGTGTTGGAATTCATAAACAGTAAAAGCTGTAGTGCTGATAAGCTATGTGAATTCAGGTGACAGCGGACCAGATGATCTGTGGTTGGGTTTGTTAGACTCAGCCTTCATGTCGACGTGTCTGCAAGTGGATTAACTTGGTCCAATTCCCAGCTATTGTTCCTCTCATAACACCATTTCCGGAAAATGTGAGTTGAATGACTCCCAAACCGTGTTCTGCCATTTCCGGCTGTAGTGGGCTTCTTCACCTTAACAGCCCTCATCACCCAATAACGCTAGTGATAAAGCCTAAGCATCCAGCCGGGTGACGGCTCAAGGGGTTGGAGACATTGAGGACAGCTATATGGAACCATTTTCTGCGCTTCAATCAAACAGGGAAAAAATGGGTTCTAATGACATTATGGAAGCTTAACAGAAGTGATTCCAATCGACATTCGGCTTATTAGTCGTACCAGGCCATTTATGCCTACGTGTCCGTTAATCGGGATGGCTTGCCGAACAACCTCTACGTGGTGCCAGCTGGGTGGTCCAGGATTAGCCCGGTCCGGCCATTGGGTCGGCGGCAGTAATCCAAGATATGGTGGGTTTTCTCCTGACAAGCTATCAACCTATAAAAAGCCACAAATGTCTGTTTAACAACATTGTGACGTGGCAGATGAAACTCGCCCCTAACTAAAGTCACTGCCCCTTGCTTCACTCTGGTAGAGCACTGTTAATCCAGCAACCCGATGCTGAAACTGTGGGGATAAATGGGCCCGTTTGGCAAGCGACCAAACTAAAGGTGTATGGACTGAGTAATCGGACACCGGGTCCCCATGGGCGCGAGTCCCTGAATCCGCTCCGCTGCTTTGCAGGTAGGCTAACCAGCCAAAGGCTCGGTGTGGTGTCCCCTAAGACAACTCCATAGGCTTGGGCAACCCGACGGTATTTTGCCTGCTGACAGAAACATGGATCATGCAGCTACGTTTACAATGTCGTTCTCCTATGCTCCCGACCGTTGACGCACCTGCATCACACGCCAATCCTAGCATCAATAATTCCTTTGAATCTACCCTCGATGACAGTCGCGGCTATTTCCAGTGGCCCTTCTTCGTCCTCGATCACCATTTCGGCTGATGGCTTTCAACGCTAGAACCCTTATGCAGATCGGACAACAAGCCGGCCTCACGCGTACATTGGAACCCCTCGCTATTGGTATCTGTTGTCTTTCTGAGACTCGGTTATAGAACTCCAGCATTGTAGTTAAGTTGTTGTCCCCTGCTGATCTCAATGCCAAATATTCCTTACATTTGTCTGGAGTTGGCATCGAGTTGAGTGACAAAACTGAGGCCTCGCTGCTTGATCGGTTCCCGATTGACAATCGATTGTGTGCGGTTCGACCTCAAGGCTTGTGCAAGATCAATAGGCATCGTACAGATAGACGCAATTTGTTTGTGGTCTCAGCCCACGTTTCAACCGACTGCAGTTGTGCGTCGGTTAAGGACGATTTCTATCTCGGACTCCACCAGCGTTTGAGTAGAGCCGGAAAGTCCGAAGTCGTTGTGCTTACAGGAGAGTTCAAAGTACGTGTCGGTCGCCTGTTGCCATGCGAACGTCATCTTGGTGATCGTCATGCTCTTGAAAAGTGTCGCTCTGATAATGGAGATAGGCTTCTCAAGTTATGTGAGGACAAGCAGCTCTTTCTCGCGAACACGAACTTCAGGCATTCGATGAGACGCGCCGCCACTTGGCGCCCCCCTTCGCCAACACAAGTGTGATCACAAATTGATCACATTGCAAGCAGCTTCAGATGGCTGGGCAGTGAACGGGATAGTAGATGAATCTGATCAACTGATCTGGATTTAGATCACGCTCTGGCCTGTGCGGACATTTGCATGCGCTTTGGTGGTTCCTCGAAACCAATGCACCGAACGCTGGATACCAACAGGATGGCTAATCCCTCCATCCAACCGGCCTATCAATCCCCCTTATCAGATGCGCTCGCTCATATTCCACCTAAAGATGTTGAACATCATTAGAATTGCTTGCAGGTGTTGCTTTCTTTCGGCCAATCATACTGTGAAATCACTGGGCGTCCTATGAAAGGCTGGATCTCTGCTCGATCTTTGGAATTGTTTGACCGTCGCCGTTATCCCGGCTGATTCAAACTGCGATGAGGTCCGCCGATACCTCAGTCGACAACTCAAGCAAAGTCTGCGTAACGATCGCGGAACTTGGTGGTCTCAGCGCGCTTCGGATATGGAGACAGCAGCTCTTTTTGGAAATTTTCGCAAGCTTTTCCAAATCATTCGGAGTAATGGCCACAGAAAACTTGGCGTCTGTGAAACGATTTGTGAGGCTGATGGATCAGCAATCACAAATCTGCGTAGGCGCATGGATCGCTGGACTGAGCACTCCCACTCTCAATTCAGTTGGCTTCCTCCTTCCTCATGTCAAATAAGCAGGCCAACCTGCTTGCATTGGAACATTTCACTGGAACCACCCACCGAAGTGGAAGTCTGTCTTGAGATTCGTCATTTGAGGCGATTCAAGGCTGCTGGCTCAAACAGACTTCCTCCGGAGTTGTTCAAGTACGTTGGCGAGACGACTGTCAATCAATTCACAGCTGTTTTCGTAGATCTAGTATGAAGAAAAAGTTCCATCCTCTTGGAGCGAGTCAATCATCGTACGCATCTTCAAAAAGGTGTACGTACTTCATACGCCAACCACAGAGGAGTCAGTCTAATATCCATCACCTTCAAATTGCTAACATCCATTCCACTGCGCAGACTAACACCGATGCGAGAACTAAATCCTCGCGAGGAACAGTTGGTTTCCGCTTCGGTTGTGGATGTGTGGACCACTTATTTACGCTCCACCAACTCCTCGAGCAGCACCACCTTTATCGCCAGCCTACGATTATTGCCTTCTTGGACATCCGAGCTGCGTTCGAATCGTTCGACCGGTCTGCTCTATGGCGTTGTCCGCAAAGGAATAAGGTACCCGAAAAGTATCGCGCCATACTTCGAGCTTTATACAGCAATGTCTCTCTGACAGAGTAAGGGTTTACGGTAAGCGCTCTTCATCTTTCGCCGTCACTAGCGGTGTGCAACACGGATGCTCCCTGTCCTCGTTTCCCTTCAGCTTTGCGATTGAAAATATCTTGTTAAGCGCTCTGGATGGTTTGCAGGGTGCTGGTGTAGAGCTTCTCCTAGATAACCGCCTGAATGACTTAGACTATGCTGATGATACTTCCTTGCTCGATGACAATCCATAGGTCATGCAGGTCGTCCTAAACCGCTTGATTGAAGCTGCCAAGTATGGCATGACCTACGCTCCATCGTAATGTAAAGTCTTACTCCAGTACTGGCATCCACCTGCCCCCGTGCTGATACTTGAAGGCGTGCAGCTTGAACAAGTAGGTTCATCTACCTTGGGAGTTGTGTTTCATCTCATGGCACTATTGAAAGAGATTTCTCCCAGTATTGCGGAAGCCCGATCAGCTTTCAATGATCTGTGGCATCCGTGGCGTCGTCGTGACGTTTCATTCTCGGTAAAGGCCAAGGTGTATAATGCCTGTGTTTACGCGGTTCTGTTATACGGAAAGGGGTCCTGGCCAATTCGCGCAAATGAGTTGCGTCGGATTTCGGTGTTTGACAACGGTTATCTGCACAAAATAGCTCGTATGTGATGGGAACACCATATTAGTAACGTCGATGTTAGACGTCGCGTCCTAGATTATACGGACCTACTTTTTGACAAGGCCATATCGCTGAGCCAACTGAGGTGACTTGGTCACGTCTTAAGCATGCTGTGCCTGCGCTTACCAAGGTGCGCTTTATTCGCTCGCGCAGGGCTACACTGGAAGAAACCACGCGGTGGCCAAACTACCACATGGTGACAAAACTTCAAAGCACTGACTTCTAGTCTTGCTGTTGTCGGCCCAGTAAATCTTCCGGGCTGTTTGGAGACTCTGGAGGACATGGCGCGTAATCGCGGGCAATGTAAGGCATGTGCAAGTCTTTGCATTAATTCTAACGATTAACACCGTAATGACTAAACTGAAAAATTACAAAATTGCTTGTCAAAAACACAAAATGATGGGCATTCTGTATTTTCCTTTTTCAATATTTGTGCTTATTATATACATTCCAGGATTTATAGATGGCTCGATGTCTATTATATCGACTGCTGCTAATATCATCATCATACCCATTAGTTCGAGGTGAAAAAGCCCCAAGTACTGTGCTGCCAACATATCCGTTGAGCGAGTAATGGACCCTACAGGTGTTGCGTAGCTTCCGGTGTCACGTCATCTGCTGCATACAAAGAGGCAAGTAAGAGAAACTGGGCTGCCATCGATAACACACTTCTTGCTTTACACCTTATGTTTCGTTAAACAAGAAGATGGTATACAAATCAATAGCACTGTCAATCGTTTCCCATGGCAGCAAAAAATAGAGGTCATACAGAAAAGACATTTGGTATTTAGAACGAGTTAAAAAAACGCCTGCGTCGGACTGTGCCCATCAGTTAGTGTGACAGTGTCTGACATTGAAGCGATACCGATGCGACATGTGCGGAATAGACTGAATGCTGCTATTGTGATATCTGAGACGGCTCGGACATGGCCGTTCTATGAATGCAATTAGAATACCGAAACACCCATCTGTATGGGAAGCTGAGTACAGGTAAGCGAAATGTGGGCAAACCGAAGCGGCGCTATCACGACATGATTAAAGTCTATCAGGAAGTAGTACTAACTTTAAATGCCGGAACAAATGACAGTGCATCAGTTTGAATAGTGTGAGCACATCAAGAATACCGCTGCCCAGGTGCACCAGACAGGACTGATGCACCAAGAAGAAAAACGCCGGTCAAAGACGTACTAGGTATCGTCATGCAACTGGGGCTGTAACAATTGTATGCGTGAGTGTTTTGACCGAGCCGGTCTGGTAAATCATCAACTTGGCCGAGCGGCCAATATCGAAGAAGTGAAGAAGTAAGGGAAATTGGTATCAGAGTAACGCAATTAAGATTCTTCTGGGTTCATCGACTAACCAAGGTGAATAATATGACAGATGCTGCACGTGTGCTGCATCGTCGCGGTTTCAACAAACTTTGCCATTTGATAGCCCAGGCCCAATCTCGATACGAATGTTGACAAGATGTCTACCCGTTGACTACCACAGTCTATATTACTAGCTTCAGGAGACTTGCAATCATTGCCTGATGAGATGGAGTGCGCAGTTCCCGTTGTAATGCTAGGCACGAAGAGTGATTTCATCGAGTGTGAAACGGACTACGACCAGGTCACCGCCCTGTGTACGTCTGGTATGCGTGTTCCTCTCAGTTTCCTATGAAAGATGTACACAATGAAGAAGTGTGGGCCTGCTCCGAACCGCTCGTGGCTCTCATCTACATGTTTCTTGGTCTTATCTCCCTCGGGTTTACATTGGGTAGAACTGTGAGTGATGTAGCGCAAGTCACTATGGTTGCATTCAGTCACAGAAACAGGCGAATCCCGAAAAAGGTGCAGTCAACCACATATACAGTGCAAATTAGAAGCGAATTCTAAAACTGTTTAGCTGTAGTGATTGATGTCAAATTTTGATAAGCAAAAATTACTAAGCAGATTGTTACATAGACCAGTTGTGCAGTTGGTGTTACCACTGGCAAGGTGGTATATACCAGCCCTGTAGTCGTATGGTGGTTGGCGGCATCCGGTTTCGGATTTGCCTGTCACTGTGGCCAGCCACAGGACGCCTGCGCCTACAGAGGGACCACGGGTGGCATGCTCTGCAACATTCACAGCTCCAACCACATACCCCATATCCAGTGTAAACCCGAAGGAATAAGACCGGGAGGCATGCGGATGGGAACCACGTTTCATCAACGGAGCCGGCCCACACTCCTTCACAGGCAAACACAAGCACGCTGTATTTGGGGAATCAAGCGCACACAAGGCGGTGGCTGGACCGTAGTCTGCTCCACACTGAGTGCATGGAACCACTCTTCGAGCCTACCACGGCCACAAGGACCGTGCACCCCGTCCCCTCCAGCAACGACCAACTGTATTCTGGAGCAAGTATGGACGAGGTAGTGGATAATAGACAGGTAGGCACCTTGTCAACATGCACATCAAGCGCAGCCACATCGGGGATATCAAGCAACAGCGAATCACTTGAAACGACAAAATAAAATAAAATAAATCCAATAATGCATACAGATACGGTGGAAAACTCTTCGCTAAATTAGCATATGAAGTAATTTGGTTAGCAATGAATTCGCGATAAGGAGAAAGAATGTCCACAAGTTACTCAAAAATGCTACAAATGCAACAAAATTACCGAAGATAAGCGCAATTAACGTAAACAACGTGGTCAGCTAATAGAAGACTATCCAGATAGGCAAAACAAACCAAAGTCGTATACAAGTGACTTAATCATCAATGTACAAATATGCAATAAGTGAAGAATCGCCTCTTTACGGAAAGCCGTTAATCTTGGTAATCTTGATAAGGATTAAAGAATCAAGTATCAGCAGTGAAAAGGAGTAAGGAGTAAGGTGCATTCTAGATGTGGACCCACTTACTCTGTACATACTGATTATTATCTTTGAAGTCTTGCCAAGCATTGAGCCATTTGGAATCTTTGTGCAAAACAACTCCAGATGACTCTCTGGCGAAAGAAAAATGAACATAAGGTTAGAAGTTGAAGGTGGGAAACAGAGGGGTGCGACATTAACGTGCATTATGAACGAAAACTACAGTAGAGATGAAAGAGAGTAGCATTGAAGCAACAGCAAGTAGAGATTAGTCAGACGGTTGAAAAGCGACGGTACAATTGAAGATGGATTGTGTCGGATGACGGTGATTATGAGCATGGTAAACTCTGAGGTCAGAACAACGCAGATGGGATACAGTATCTACCATTGTGTTGTTGTCTCATTCAACACGAATACAAAATGTTTCAGTAACTATGCTGATCTTAACACAGAGAGGACTGGATTACAAGGATCACGGAATCAGCAGTTAAACGTGGCTGGCCCGCGGCCGAAAGGACAAGGCGTTGGGGAATTCGAGCCTGTGTAGGAAACCGGGCGACCCTCGCAGTACTATTAGCCCTCATGTAACTGGTGGTGGTTCCGGGGAAGCGAAGCGTCGGTACGGTGCACTTCCCTCATTCATTATACAACTTAGCTAGAGGTGAAAACAAGCTCAGCTACTGCGCCGCAGTACATAAGAAAAGAAAAAGAAACAACTACAGGTGCACCGCAGCTGAGCTACCAGCAACGGATGAGCATCGTTTCGGAAAGCTACCAGTCAGATAATATGCAGCAAAAAAGGTCATTAACCCAAATTTGTATCATACTATGAAATGAGATGGCGATTGGAGGGGAGGCTAAGAGGGATAAGGAGGGACAAAGAAACTCACAACACGAAGGTCACTGAGGTCGGCACGTAGTCATGTCAGTATGTGTATTCAGCCAAAAGTGCTCATGGTCTTACGGACTTCAACCAGGGAGCCGAGAGGCTTCAACCGAGGCCAACGTCGAAGCAAGGGCCTTCAATCTTCGTGACTAAGTCATCGCTTGGCCACCGCTCCTCTTGTTCCATCCACACCCCCGGCGAGTAAACAACGCACGTCACAGGAATCAGTGGGCTGGCATGCACAACACGTGGCCCAGCTATCGGAGCATGCTGCGTGAATCAACGGTGCCGAGCGGTTCATTTCCACTTCCTGTGCCATAAACAAGGCGTGGAACACGTTAGCTGCTAACGCGGTGATCCGTAAAGGTGTGTCAAACTGCGAAGGCATCGGTGGTCGAACGTAACCAGCTTCCTTATGTCTGCCGATCTAATGGGCCAAGTTCGCAGTCGTAAATGGGAGTTAAACGGACGGCTGCATTGTACACTCAATCCTACAGGGAGAGAGAGAGGGAGAGAGAGTAATGTCGCACCGGCGCCATGGGTGGCGGAGATTAGTGAAAGCTCCTCGAGCTTTTGCCATACCGTTCGTGATCTCGTCTTCGACCCTCAGGGTGCCTAAACAACTTCTCAGGTAGTTGAATTTTTGAAGGACTTCCAGAAGATCTTCACCACGGGTCAGAGCAGAAGGCGGTCCCTGCCAAGCTTGGAGGAAAACTTCGCAGTTCGAGGGTCCAAAGCATAGCCCTAAACCTGTCCAATGCCCCTTGGCACGTTTGGGAGCTGTCACAGATAAGGGCATATTCCAAATCAAAAAGTCTTTCACCTGGGAGTAGGTCCACATCCTCTAACTTGTGTCCTGTGAACGCAAACCCCATGACTTCGTCAATGGTGAAATTGAAGAGGAAAGGTGACAGCAGACATCCTTGCCTCACATCACTGATATTGAAGGGCGGCGACAGCATGCCGTAAGCCCTCACTCTGTGTGAGCTACACGCGTATAACGCACTGATAATATTTACATATTTCTCGGACATACCTTCCCTGAGTAGACAGTCCCAGGTGTTGCACATGCCAACCTACCGACTCCCGCGACGTGCATTGTTTGCGCGCTGAGGGTGCGGTTGGAAGAGAAAGGGAGGCCAAGCGATGACTTAGTCGAGAGAAATGAAAGTCCTCACTTCGAACTTGGTGTCGGTTGGTGCATCGCGACTGCTTGGCTAGGGTCCAAAGGACGATGAACACGTTTGATTGGATACACTAGCCAATATGGCGAAGAGTCGACTTAAATTGCGTTTGTGTTGTGAATCGCTTTGTTCCTCTCCTTCCCTTTAGCTTCCCTTTCCAACCAAGATCGTAAATGTGATATCAGCATTATTTTACTTTTATGTTGCTTTTAAGCATACATACCAATTTTTGTATTGCGGCACATTAGCAGTGGGGAGCTTCTCACCCTCGACTAACATGTATTGATGATGATGATTGACTCGCTTTCCAGCCGAGGGTTCGCACGAAGCACTTCGTATCTGACTGTAGGCCAAGCAGGACAGGTCTGGTTTCGCGAGCGCCACTCAGTGTGGGAAGAAGGACACAGGTACGCGACTCAGAAGCAGTCGACACCGGACTGATCCCTCTGATTGCCAAATTTCGAAGGTGAACCCCTTGAAAGAGCACCATAACGGTTGGGACAGCTTTCTGCTTCCATGTTTCACAACTAAGCCATGCAGATTACGTATAAGAGCACAGGTATTGAATGTGAAGAAGACTGGAGCAAGTTCAATTGGTCATGCGGTCTTGTTCAACTTTAGGAGTCAGACCTCATATTCGACTTCATTTGGCGAAGACGGATCCAAAGAAATCGACGAAGAAATTGGTAATTCAAAGCAGTAAATTGCTTTTCAAGGTATTCAGACCCACTTGTCGTATATAGTTTCGCTAGTACCACGTCTCCTGGGACCCAATTCTCCTATGAAACAGTAGAATTATCAATGGCTACTAACAGCAGTGGTCATTCCCATCTCCGATGCACGATGAGGAGGCCAAATTTCGCGGTCCTTCTTCAGGCTAGTACGTAGTTTCCATGAGATCACTGCAAACTTTGCTGTACTTGTTTTCAGCTGGAATGCATCAGGCTGGTAACTAGATTTGGCACGCAAAGATATACGTGCAGTTAATAAGGTCTGGTGAACATAAGATCAGTTACCCACAACTGTGTCAAGTGAGCGCTTACACAGCCCGGATGCCAGCGTACTTTTAAATGCACTGGGAACATTTGGCCTCGTCAGTTGGACAGTGTTTATGCGCTCACAGCGCCGTCACGGACATCGTCAAGAAGCATTCTTGGATAGCCACATATGATTGGAACTTACGCTTGTGCTCCAAATAGAGCGGTATATTTGAAAATAACCTTTTCAATGAGAACTGATCGCCAGATGATTAATTTGCGTCAAGACTGTTTCGTCGGACGACCTTCACGTGACAGCAGTTTGTCGGCTCGGGTTTATCTCGCTCCAGTAAATGGTTAAGCGGTAAATGCAAAACGCGGTGGGTTTTTGTCTGGCAGGTTTTGTCTCTATAGATGACCACAAACACCTGCCTAACCAAACTGCGACGTGGTGGATGTGACCCGCTTGCTGATATGGCAAAGAGCCCGCCCCACTTGCGCCTGTGTTGTGAGTTCCTTTGTCTATCTCCCTCCGTTTTAGATTCCCCTTTCAATTCCGATATGATACGAATTACATAATATAATATTTAACATTATATTACCAGTATTAGAATTTTCTGCTGTAACTCCTCGTATTTTACCTTTCTGTATTGTGGTACATTAGCTGAGGTATGTCTCTCACCTTGAGCAAACGCGTACTGATGACTGATAATGGCATCCGGGTCCGGATTTGATCGCGACTGTGGCATCCATGCGGACGAACACAGGACGCCTGCGCCTACAGAGGGACCACGGGTGGCTTGCGCTGCACTACCCACAGCTCCAACCACATACCCCATATCCAATGTAAACCCGAAGGAATAAGACCAGGATGCAGGTGGATGGGAGCCACGTTTCATCAACGGAGCCGGCCCACACTCCTTCACAGGCAAACACAAGCACGCTGTATTTGGGAATCAAGCGCACACAAGGCGGTGGCTGGACCGTAGTCCGCTCCACACTGAGTGCATGGAACCACTCTTCGAGCCTAACAGGCCACGAGGACCGTGCACCCCGTCTCTTCCAGCAACGACCAACTGACAGTATGGACGAAGTAGTGGTTAATAGACAGGTAGGCACCTTGTCAACATGCACATCAAGCGCAGTCACACCGGGGATATCATGCAACAGCTAAAGACTCGAAACGATAATATCAAATAAAACAAATTGAATAATGTATACAGATATGCCGACATAGCTCTTTAATAAATGAACATATGAAATAAATTTGTTGCCAAAATATCCCCTACAGTTTCAAGACGTCCGAAAAGATATTTTAGGAAAACGCCACAAGCGTTTTCAAAGTTAACGACAAGTAACTTAACCGACGTGTGCAAGTTTATAGAAGATAGTACACGTAGGTAATAACAACACAATATAGCAAACCTACCACCTAAAATAAAGAGACTTAGCATGCAAGCAAGCGGTTTGTTAATCGAATGCAGCGTACACACAAACGCTGCGCCGGTTCCGCCAACGTTCTCTGCAAGACCCGTCGTCGCTTCGGTGTCGGCCCCGAGTGGCCTCGCTCATGGCTCACTAAGCCTGCCTGACTCAGGCACTCGCGACCGCATGTGCTACAGCACCATGCAATCGATGTCGATGCAGTACAATCCGTCAGCGCCTATCGCATCTTCTCCGCAAGCATGAGGTTTTTCTCCTGCACCTCGGCAACTGCCGTCGTGATCAGATCGTGCCATGCACGCCGAACAACCGCCTTCGATTCCCAACATCTAAAATCAACATTAGAACGTGAGGGGCTCACTTTGATCATGTCAAGGTAACAAAGTTGCGGTTTCCCCACATGCCGTTTCCCCATACTCAGCTGACCGTATAAGAGTTGTTTCGGTATCCGCGTCCAATCCATACGGCTCACATGACCGAGCCATCTCAGGTGTCTCAATAAAAGTATGCAGTCCACTGCATACATTCCACTTGGGCGCAACAGCGTGACAGCAACTCCGTTGCGCAAACCGATGCGCAGAATCCGTCGCAAACACTGCTGATGGAACCGCTCGAGGTATCGCACATCCCGACGGTACATCGTCTCCGTTTCACTGCCGTATAGAAGAACGGACAGCACCATGGGTTTGTACACCATCAGTTTCGTGCCAACGGTAAGCTTATGGTTGTTCCACACTCGGTACTCTAGCTTCCTGAATGTCGCCGCCGTCTTAGAGGTGCGGATAAGAAACACAGTATAACTGCCAATATGTCGAAGTTACACCCCAAACTAGCAGAAGCGGCAGTTGCTTCCTAATACTTCAGCACCCATGCTGAATTGCGGCCATATTAAAGACTGCACATCCGGTGAAGGCTGAAAGAGACAGACAGTTTTGCTTGTGTTGATGGTGAGCTCGAATTTGGCCGCAGTCGAAGCCAGAGCACGAGTCATGTGCTGAAACTCATCCGCGCTGTGTGAAAACAACGCACAGTCGTCAGCAAACAGCAACATACGGACAGTTGCCTCAGATTTGAGTTCGCGCACCGCAACGACGGACGTACAGCAACCCACCATCAATATGGTGCTCCACACGAACACCGTAAGCACAAGCCGCATCAAAAACACAAGACATCATTGCATGAAGATAAATATTAAACGGGGCAGGAGCTAAGACACAGCCTTGCTTCACACCAGAGACAACTGCAAAGCCATCCGAGGTCTGTCCACTCAGTTATACCCCCGCCCGCATACCATCATGCAGACATTCAATTAAACTTACAAACTTACGCGGGCAACCAAACTTGCCCAACACCAGCCACAATGCCTCGCGGTTTACCGTATCAAGTGACTTGGTGAAATCAACAAAAAGCGAGTACAATGGCTGGTGTCGTTCTCTGCACTTCTCTTGCAACTGACGAGCCGCAAACACCATATCTATAGTGCTGCGACCCGAACGGAATCCACAATGCTCATCCGCCACGTTAGGTTCCAAAATCTGACTGACGAGGCGGTTTAGCAGGATACGGGCAATCACCTTGTCTACACAACTCAGCAAGTTTACGCCACGAGAATTCGCGCAACATTGCTTGCTCCCATTGCCCACAAGGGCATTCTTCAATACAGGAGGCACCTCCTACTCAACCCATACGCGTTGAACCAAATAGTGAAGCGCAGTCATCAACGCGGGTCCGCCGTGTTTCAATACTTCAGGCGGGATCTCGTCGGCACCGGCACACTTGCAGTTTCTCAGCTGAGCAAGTGCTCTCCGCATCTCATCCAGTGACGCCGTATCCGCCAAACTCGAATTCACATCGCACTGCTTTAGGTCATTAGAAGTAAGTCATTCGATCTCTGAACGGTTGTTCAAGAGACAGTCAAAGTGTTCCCGCCAGGTCTGCATTATATCTGCAGTCTGTGTGTAGGTAGCACCTAAGCTACCGTCGATCAGCGTCCTCAGCGGCTCCAATCTCGGTCCATACACTGTATTCAAGGAGTCAAAGAATTCTTTTTGTTGGCGACGTTCGGTGTAGCATTCCATCTGCTTCACCTTCTCAGTTCACCATGCATTTTTAATGCGACAGAGCTCTCGGGTCAGTCACCGTCGCAGTTTGCGAAACTGACTCTTCTTCCCCAAGTCACTGGGATTAGCCACATGTGCATTAAATGGTATATTCTTCTCACACACCAATGTGCCAATCAGCGAAATGTTCTCATCAAACCAATCAGGCTGCTTACAGTTTGCGCGCCCGAGGGTTTCTTCGACAGCAGCTGTCACCTAGTCGCGAATGTGGTGCCACAGGTCGCCCACTGTGGCAATGCATTCCATATCACACAGGCATGTAACCATCGCCTTTCCCAACTCAATACGTTTCGCCACAGTACCAAGAGAGAGAATGTTAAATTTACGCCGATTTACGGCCGGAATATACATATATATATACATATATATACATATATATATATTTATTTATTTAAACGAAAATATATGTACAGTTTGATCCGCACCATTTTATGATCAATGCCACACTCAACTCCACGCAGTACACGTGTCAGGAACACTGCATGCATATCAAGCTGACGAAGGATGACGTATTCTAGCCAGTGAGCGTGACCAATCCGTGGGTATGTCCAAGTTGCGATATCACGCGCACTAAGTGCAAACCGAGTGTTGGTGATCGTCAGGCCGTGACTGGCACACAGTGAGAGCAGCCTGTCACCGTTCGCATTCGTTGAACCAATGCCGTGCGGACCGATAACATCTGCTCAGACCGATACATTACGCCCAGCAGAAATAGTCGGTCGCTTCTCGGCACAGACCGTATCATGGAGCATAGCTGAGTGTAGGATTGAACACGCGTGTCATCAGGATAATACATGGCCAGACCATAGGTGCGGATGAAAGTGGCAACGATAGCTCTTCCGAGTCGTAGACGAACAGTCATCAATCGCGCGCTGATGCCTGTTGGTTCACTCACCAGGTGGCTATTTAGGCGATCGGATATTGCAAATCCTACCGCATGTTCACGTGGCGCTGAGGCGGCGTTGCCCAACCAGTAGAATGTGTAGCCAGCACCTGCTTCATGCAACTTACCTTGCTCAGCGAGCCAAGTCTCACTGAGCGCCGCAATACCGATGTTGTAACGCGCCAGTTCCATCGAGACCAGTGCAGTGCGTCCGTCGGGGCGCTCACTTGAGTTCCGGTCCAGTAGTGTGCGCACGCTCCAGCACCCGATGCTGAGTGCTTTGCGCGTATGCATACGAATGCACTAGTGGGTAATCGCACGCGTGGTGGAAGTTGTGCTTCGGAGGTTTGCTTGAGGGACTCCGCCCGGAGCCTTTGGCTCAATAGCCTGACCCACAGGCAGTGGATATATATATATATATATATATATATATATATATATATATATATATATATATATATACGGTTGGCGGCATCCGGTTTCGGATTTGCCTGTCACTGTGGCCAGACACAGGACGCCTGCGCCTACAAAGGGACCATGGATGGCTTGCGCTGCACCACCCACAGCTCCAACCACATACCCCATATCCAGTGTAAACCCGAAGGAATAAGACCGGGAGGCATGTGGATGGGAGCCACGTTTCATCAACGGAGCCGGCCCACACTCCTTCACAAGCAAACACAAGCACGCTGTAGTTGGGAAATCAAGCGCACACAAGGCGGTGGCTGGACCGTAGTCCGCTCCACACTGAGTGCATGGAACCACTCTTCGAGCCTACCACGGCCACAAGGACCGTGCACCCCGTCCCCTCCAGCAACGACCAACTGTATTCTGGAGCCAGTATGGACGAGGTAGTGGGTAATAGACAGGTAGGCACCTTGTCAACATGCACATCAAGCGCAGCCACACCGGGGATATCAAGCAACAGCCAATCACCTGGAACGACAAGATGTAATAAAACAAATCCAATAATGCATACAGATACGGTGGCATAACTCTAAGCTAAATAAGCATATGAAGTAAGTTGGTTAGCAACGAATCCGCGATAAGGAAATAATGTCCACAAGTTAGTTAAAAATGCTACAAAACGCAACAAAGTTACCGAAGATAAGCGCAATTAATGTAAGCAACGTGGCCAGTTAATAGAAGAGTATTCAGGTAGGCAAAACAAACCAACTAAAGTGGAATGAAATTTAGCCAGCTTAAAAAGACCTAGTTTAAGTGTAAGTTGGTTTAGCCCAACTGCGGTGAAGCATCAAGAATGCAACATCAGCCTCAGCATGGGGCATATATATATATATATATATATATATATATATATATATATATATATATATATATATATATATAATCATGCGCAGCTGTCTATAAATAGACAGTGGGCCATCGAAAAACCATGAGGAACAAAATAGAAAAAAGTACAAATGTCAGGAACAGATAACAAATGTTTCTCAGGTTTTTGTTTCGTTTGTATCGGTGTTCACACGCCACGTTATGCTTTTTTGGCATTTTGAATGGTATAGTCCTAATCACTTTGTTTAAAAGAATTCAATATACAGTCCATTCATTGATTCCAGTTTTGCGCCATATCGCCAAGTGTGTCAAGCCCCCATCCTTGGGCCCCCAACCAGGAAGATGTACTGGGCCGACGGTTGCGAGGCAGGAGCTAAGCGATTCCATGGTTTACTGCCGTGGTCGGCGGACCTCCCCGCATTCTCTTCCAATTAAGTCCAGTGCAAGTAAATAAGGCACGACGTGGTAAGCGCTCGCATGACGTCAGTAAAAGGTGGCCAAGCCATCTCAATTGACGCATTAAGATAAGGCGAGTAAGCAGAGGGCTCATGTTCCCAAAGACGTGACAGTGGACTTAATGGTTTCGAACCCCGTGCTGCTACCACACAAGGGCTATCTGCCGCAAACATGTGTTGTCGAAGGTCGAGAGCCTACAAATGTCATCAACGCGAATCGACCAAGATTCACTTCCGTACAGCAAGACCGCGCGGACACAAGCGTTGTAGACCCGCCTTTAAGGAGAGGGATATGTTCCGACGACGCCACAAATGACTCAGTTTGGTAAATGCAAATCAGGCTCTGGCGATGCGAAGAGATACTACTTTACCAAAAGCGTCATCAGCAGAAATACAACTTCCAATGTAAATAAAGTTGTCCACAAGCTCTAGCTGTGTTCCTTCAAAGGTGAGGGTGTAAACAACTTCCAGTCCTGGAGTAGTACATGACAGTTCAAGGGAGAAAAGCGCATACCATACTTAGACGCTTCAATCACTAGACAGTTCAAAAGGAGCTGTACACACTGTGAATCGTCCCCGAGCAGGGCGTTATCATCAGCATAACCTAAGTCGGTCACGTGATTGCCAACAAGAAGCTCAACACTAAGATTTTGGAAGCTTTCGAGAGATCTCAAAAGGACGTCCTCAACTGCAAAGTTAAAGAGGAATGGAGACAAAGGGCACCCTTGCCGCACACGACTAGTGATAGCAAAGAGAGAGGAAGGCTTGCCATAGGCCCTCAGTCAAGCTGGTACTTGGAAGCAAAGCGCCCGTATGATGGAAGTGTACTTTTTGGGGGACTCCATCTTTTAGCAAACAATGACATAAAGCAGGCCGTTCAACCCAGTCAAATGAAACTCGAATGCCCAGATAAACGACAATGGTTGGCTGGTGGTAGAGATGGCAGTGTCCAAGGATTTGGCGTAGCGTGAAGATCTGCTCCATGCATCCTCGACCGGGGTGAAAGCCAGCTTGTTCTTCTCGGCAAAACAACGCGGACCGGGGATAGTCGGGGATAGTCGAGGATAGTCGGCCGGTGGCCGAGTGGTTGGCACGTTTGCTTTCCAACCATAAGGTCACCGGTTCGAATCCGCGTAGGGGTGGGCGTCCTCGCGGTATACTCAGCCCGCGCGCGACTGGTGGTGGTCGCGCGGAAGCGAAGCGCCGTTACGGCGTATAAGCTGACACATTTCATTCCGTCGCAACGAGACTGGACCGTCGCAACGAGACTGAACCGTCGCAACGAGACTGGACCCCGTCGCAAAGAGACTGGACCTTAACGTGGTGCGACGGTTTGCGTACCTCATTGACCCATTGAGCTATACTGGGTGATGCCTCCGAGCATCTTGAGAGCTACTCCTACCAGGCTGGTCAATGGTGAGAGG